TTAAGTGAAAAACAAGGCTGGGGAATATAAGGGAAATCTTAAAATCTTCTGTTAAAGTTTTGATTTATTCTGATCTGCCTTTACTTTCTTTTAATTTGTTCTCCTGAGTAGAATCACAGAATCATTTAGGTTGGAAGAGACCTCCAAGATCACCTAGTCCAACCTCTGCCCGAACACTAACCAGTCCTCCACTAACCCATATCCCTAATCTCTACATCTAAATGTCTTTTAAAGACCTCCAGGGATGGTGACTCCACCACTTCCCTGGGCAGCCCGTTCCAGTGTCTAACAACCCTTTTGGTAAAGAAGTTCTTCCTAACATCTAACCTAAAACTCCCCTGGTGCAACTTTAGCCCATTCCCCCTCGTCCTGTCACCAGGGACGTGGGAGAACAGGCCAACCCCCACCTCACTACAGCCTCCTTTAAGGTACCTGTAGAGAGCGATAAGGTCGCCCCTGAGCCTCCTCTTCTCCAGGCTGAACAAGCCCAGCTCCTTCAGCCGCTCCTCGTAGGACTTGTTCTCCAGGCCCCTCGCCAGCTTCGTCGCCCTTCTCTGGACTCACTCAAGCACCTCGATGTCCTTCTTGTAGCGAGGGGCCCAAAACTGAACACAGTACTCGAGGTGCGGCCTCAGCAGAGCCAAGTACAGGGGGACAATCACCTCCCTAGCCCTGCTGGTCACACTGCTTCTGATACAAGCCAGGATGCCGTTGGCCTTCTTGGCCACCTGAGCACACTGCTGGCTCATATTCAGCTGACTATCAACCAATACTCCCTTCTACTACTATACTATTCTTCCCCCTTCTCTCCCTCTTTGTCATTTGAACATTTCCTCTTGATTTGAATCCCCATATCATTTGGTGCAAAAAGTCACCTGAGACAGTCACACAGGCCAAGGGGCAATGGCCATTTTATAAACATAAAAGTACCGTGTATGAAAGCTGTCATGATATGTTATGCACCTTGACAATAAGTTTCATTATTCTCAAATCGCATTACTGCATCTCTTACTAATGTCTTCTCAAGTAGTCAAATGAAGCTTTCCATTTTCCTGCTGTGTTTCATCCAGGTAAGACCAAAGAAATGTGGTGACTCTGGAGTATCGGGAACTGACCATCTATGCCTTCTGGCTCCTCCTTATGTAGACCTTATTGATATATCCTCCAGTTCTTCCTGCAGTAAAAGACAGGTTATGAAGATATTTTCCTCAAAGCTCTCTTACATCAGGCTACCTGTGGTGGTAAGCCTTCAGCTAAGGGGAATGAGGTTGGTCTGAGTTCTCTCCATATGAGAGCTGAGCTCTAAACAAGAGCATCTCTCTCCTGCGTAGAATGAAGTTGAAGGAAATACCCAGTAAGCAAGTATCCTTTGGCTCGCTTCTGAGAGTGGTTTAAGTCCAAACAGGGAGAGGGCCTTAGAGCTCACCAGCCACCCTTAGTCACCTACTCCTTATAAACCTGGTACCTCAGGATATCACTAATATATCGTGACAAGCGCCTAGGTCACTCGTACTTCTGATGATGTGCTCATGCATTACCAAAAACTTGTGCATCTGTACATCTCTGAGAGAACCCCCTTACCTATTTATTGTGCTGTGCCCAGTTATTTGATAAAACAATCAATTGCTTTTGTTGCTGCTGACACACACTGAAAAGTTTCTGACCGTTTCTTGAAGAAAGAAAAACCACAAAATTGTTTGCTTTGAAGACTGGGTTTTGTGCCGTAAAACAAAGTTCACAAGGGCTCAAGGGGAATAGTTTCATTAGCTAGAACCTGCAAAGACTTCCACAGTTAATTTCCTGGGCAGTATCACCTGTATACTGTGTATTTGACAGGAATACAAAGAAATTGGAACTGTAATTATTCCGTCTTCTCAAGATAATTTCTAGATAGATTAGTTCAGAAATAGGAAATGGAAAAAGCATTTGAATGATTGTACGTAGCTTGGTTTAGGATATTTCTTTGCAATCATCTTAGATTTGTAACACCTATATTTTATTTAAAAGAAAATTGACTTCTGGATTATCATATTAACCAAAATTAAAACACAGAGAATAAAAAATGACTGAATTATTAATATGCATTCATGACACCCCCACAGCATGGAAGTCTGATACTGCCACATGAAAAAGATAATGTGAAATTGAAATCTGTATATAGCTTTTCATCATAGCTTTGGATAAGATGACTCTTTAATTATCAGCACTTCACCTCCTTTAGAATAGCAGATTTGGAGGGCAAAAAATAGCAGAAGCTTTAATCTAACTTTTATTAGGTAATCCTTATATTATTCTTACCTTTTTAATCAGAGAAACTGTGGCAAAACAAAATGTAACATGATCCGTGGTTACCTATATTTCACTTATTTTTTTCAGTTTTTATTTTGTCCCATTCTTCTAAATTCTCACTTTCTGTGCTCATGGTGCCATTTCCTACCTCTCTGGGTACCCAGGAGAGTCATTAGCTAAGGAGGATTATAGCTTTGACTTCCCAGGGGTCTGTGGAGACTACCAAATGCAGCTCTTTACCTTGAAAATATTTGCTGATGGTAAGGTAAAGGTCTCTCTCCCTCTCTCTCTCTCTCTCTCTTTTGTTTTTCTTTTTTCTTTCTCTTTTCTGTTTTCTCTTTTCTGTTTTTCCCCCCTGTTGCATGCACTGTCTAAAGGCTTGATCCAACTTCACACACACACACACACACACAAAGCATTACTCAGAGTATTCATGTTCTTGTCCATCCACCTACCAGTGTGAGAATTCTTGAGCGTATGACCTTTGGTAATAAACTGGCATTCTTATACCACAGTTTTCATCACAGTTTTCTCCTCTAAACCATATGGGCTTGACTGAAAGCTCTAATCCCTCACTTTTTCCATCACTTATTTATAAAGCTGTCCCGTTCACTGGTCATGCAGGTAATGATTTGCTATGAGGACTGAGAAATTCATACTCTTCTGGGTGAGTCTCAGAGCTAAGCAGTGTGACTAATAAGATGACCAAGGGAATATATCTATTTAATTACTTAGAGCAAAGAAAAAAAGAAAAGGTAATTAAGAAAAAGTACTTAAAAAGACTAATTTTAGAGACAAACAAAAATATCATCCAGAGAGCAGGAATTTCAATTTTCCCCCTAATGTGAAGTTTCTCTTCCTTTAGATGTCATTTCTGTGAGGTATGCTACTTCTGAAAAAGGAAGGGCTGAGCAAAGAACCATGCAATTTAGCATTTTCAAGATAAGGAGGCATCTGCACAAAATTCACATGCTTTGTAGCAATTCATGGTCTTTAAGGTCATGAAAAATCATTATGATCATTTAGCTGAGCTAACTGCTAAATATTTTACCTTCTGTTTCTATACACCGCTTCCAGTAGGCTGGTTTTTTGTTGTTTGTTTGTTTCTTTTTGGTTGTATAGCAGCTGGTCTCATGTTAAAGATGTTGTCTGTTGAAGAATTCCTCAGCTTTCTTGGTAATCTGCTCCAATAACTAATTCATTCAATAAAAACAAAATTCATCTTATTTCTAGTGTCAGCTTCTGGCACTTTTTCATGATTTTTGTCTGCTAAATTAAATGGCTTGGGAATTTACTTATCTTGATTCTATCTAACTGATTCCAGATTTACTTGATGTGTTTTGACAAAATTAATAGATTGAACTTTCTACTTGGTCTGTGCAAAACATATTTTTCAGTTCTCTAGACATTCTGGTAGCTTTTTCCATAAAAAAAGGAAAAAAAAAAAAAAGGGGCAGTGTGGGGTGGCTCTCCTGCCCTCCTGCTCCTCTTCCCCCTGGGAACAGTTTTTCTGTTCCATGGTGAGTGTGCTGTGTGATAATGCTCAGGGCACTGAAACCTGTTATTATTTAAAAAAATCTTCTGTAAAAGTTATTAATACATTTCTGGAGAGACAGTTACTGTGAGACTTAATTAAATGACAAGATGTTTTGAAATCTTTCTGTAGAAAATACCGTAGTATAATTAATAAACAATGTGGTTCAGATTCTCCTGCATCCCTAAAGAGTTTATGGAGGCAGGCTGTAAGGGCAAGAATGTGATGAGGATTTTCTTGTAAGATTTCTCCATCTTTGAATGCATAGCTTACATGTATTTTACTTTAAACAATTAGGTACAAAAGTTCCTCATTAGCATTGTATTAGTGGGCCTTGCTGATAGAAATGTGTCTCCAGTCTGTATGTGCCTTTTTACCTTGACTGTAGTGTGATCATTGATTTTTGAGACTGTTCACTGATTTTGTTAGAATTTTGTGAAGGCAATTCATGTCTCCCCCTTCTCTTTCAAAATAGTTTTTGTTCATTTGATCTCTTATCTCTTTTTTTTTTCTTTCTTCTGATTGATCCGTGACTTATAATGTAGGCAATATTTTGACTTTAATGTAAAGATTGTTCAAAGGAGAAAAAGTAATCAACTTGAATGGGACTTTCTTTTCTAAATCCATCCCAACACTACCAACCCCTTTAGCAGCCCATGTGCTGACATGCCTACGCTTCTTCCTCTCAATAATGTACATCTACATTTCATATATTATTTTTCTAAATCTTCCTTTCTTCTGCCAAAATTGTGAATTTTTGTGTCTTGAAATAATTAACTTGTTACATATACAGTAAATAGCTTTGAAAAACATTCATATTTGGTGATTTGAATATCTTTAAAAGAACATACCATGTACAGCCCAAGCAGTTGAACAAGGAACAAAAGCACTGCAAGCAACAGATAAAAGGAAAATAGAGCAAAGCAATTCGTTAGCTGCAGTAAGCATAGTGAACACTGAGCAAATTAGTAAAGGCTTAAACTCAGAGGAAGTATCAGATCAGATTAAACACAGAAAAAGAAAAACCTCTTAATATGGTGTAAGCCAGAAAACAGCTGTATATATTATTATCTTTTGTTACAGAATAGCAAGTAGCCAAGATCTCTCTGGATTAAAAAAATTAAAATAAAATCAAAATCCCGTGATTACATCTGAAATACCCGTATTCCTTCCACAGTGCAGCTGGCTCTACATCTCCTCTGCTCCACCTGTAGCTGTTGTCCCTACCGGCTATTGAGAACAATCCCTGGCACAAGGTAGTCCTGGGACTGTGCCCTCACAGCTTGGGGAACTGTGACTTGGCACCAGCCAGCAAGGGGCCAGGGAGCAAGCAAGTGGTCAAGCAAATGGCTGACCAGCTGGCCAGCGCCTGAGCTCATTTCCTGAACATATTTTAATTAGGACCGTAGCTGAGAACACTGAGATCCCCTGCTCACTCTGCGCTTGAACTGAAGAGCACAGCTTTTCAGTCTGTGTCTTTGCACCCCAAAGTACCTGGTTACAAATGATTCATGGCAACACTTCTTACAGAAGGCCAAGTCACCAATTTGTCCAGTGAGAGCTCCAAGTATTGCTGTTAATATACGGAATGAGTTCAATAAAAAATAAAAGTGGTCTTGAGAACCAAGTTTTAAACTTTATTATTCTGTATTTCATATACGTGACTTAATTCAAACTGGATTAGGGATTTGATTTCTTGGCCCATTTGGACTCACCGAAAGTTTTACTCCAAGCCTTTGGACACTAGGTTTTAAGGCAAAGCTCAAGAAAACCAGTGGTAGTTGATTCTTTCTGTCTGAAATGAACTCTTTCTTTTTTAACTACTCATAGTGCTGTAATAAATTATTGCTACAGATTAAATGGTTTTGTTACAATAGAGCTCTTTGTAAGGACAGTAATTAATAATATGGGATAAAATATAGTTTATATATTAGTAACTGGAGGGCAAAAACAGGATTATCACTTTTGGGGGGACTGTACCATTCAGTTTTCTGTCCTGCTCATCCTACTCTGAGGTGCTGTGAGAATTTAAAGTCTAAAAATTAAATATAGTTCTCATTAAAATCAAAAAAGCAGTTTTTCCTCAGAAGCCTTAAATGAGCAATGCTTAGTTTTGCAAAACAGAATTTCTAACATGAATGCTGTCACTATTTTTTGCATAATCTAGCGAGTCTCACTTGTGTTTCTTGTGTGATTGCCCAGCGAATTCAAACCAATTTCCCCTTCCTGGTACACACGAGATGAAGCAGTGTGTGCTCTGCTGTGGGGAATCAGCATCGCTTCCCTGCCCCAACTCCCCTTAATTCTGAGATCAGCTCAAGTTTCTTCAGTAGGAATTCCCCTATTGCTCGATTAGAGCTCTCACATACCTGGTAACAATGGGTGCATGAGATCTGAGCATCTTTGGATAGTTTTCCTTCTAACTTGTGCCCAAGATTATCATCCCCAAGGATCTACAAGCAATACAGCTGATGTGTTTATAGACAATAATTTAGCAGAGAAAGCAGCACAGCACCTTTTCCACAGAACAAATGTTTTGAAGACTCTGGCAACATTCGATATTATATCTTCTCAGCTATTTTCTAAACTTAGTGTACTATTACTCTCTTCAGGGTCAAATTTTACAGCTCTTTCACATATAAAGATGTCTTTGATCTGGAAAATGTTGCAGAACTTTCACCTCTGTTTTTCCTTGGCTTCAGTTTTCCTAAATTTTCCTCTCATTCCTGTCCGATTTGTCATTTCAGATAGTTGATTTGTTAACCTGCGCTACTTCATCAGATGCCTTTTTAGGGTGTTTGTTAATCTGAAAAACACAGAACCGCGCAATGCCATCAAAGGATGCTGTATGTACAAGTCAGCAATTGGGGCACATTCAAGACTAATCACAAACCCACATTTATACATAACTTGCTCAATAAATACTGTGGAGATACTGGATAATAGAAATGTTTTTAAAAAGGAAAAAAAAAAAAGAATGGGGGAAAAATATGCATTTAGTCTTCCTTGGAAACCATTCAGTCATGAGCACATTGCTTGAAAACTGAGCATCTGAGTGACAACAAATGGGGCAAGGAGTTCTTCCCATTTCAGGTTAACCTGAGTGAGAAGTGAAAAGAGCAGGAAACTGATAGCTACAGCTATCTCAGGAAAATGCTGTAGGATACCTTGTGCTCAAAGAATTGCCAGAGAAGTGGTAGCACGTCCAGAATTACAACCTGTTCCCAGTTCTTGCTTTTTATTTTTTATGGAGATTACACCACTATGTAGGCCTCGCAAAGGTCTCAGTTCTGTTAATTAACAGTTTTATTGTACATCTGAGATACCGTGGACTGGCAGATCTTCCTAACTCACTTCCATTTATGCAGAAACATATTGCTTTCAGATTAATGATGCAGAAGTAGTAATTATGTTTTTATAATGGTTTTTGGTGAGATATCAGCTCTCTGTCAAAGAGTAATTTGTATGACCAGATACAGATAGGAACAAAACAGTGACTTGCATATAATTTCTTAAACAAAGGCTATGGTACTGGTCAAGTTATTGCAAGCTTGGATTTTTTTTTTTTTTTTTAATAATGCCTTTTCATAATTAATTTAACTTTTCTTTTCTTTTCTTTTCTTTTCTTTTCTTTTCTTTTCTTTTCTTTTCTTTTCTTTTCTTTTCTTTTCTTTTCTTTTCTTTTCTTTTCTTTTCTTTTCTTTTCTTTTTTCTTTTCCTTTCTTTTCCTTTCTTTTCCTTTCTTTTCCTTTCTTTTCCTTTCTTTTCTTTTCCTTTCTTTTCTTTTCTTTTCCCCAATAGATTAATTTCTTCTGCAAATGCACACCAAATCCCTTTATGTTTATGTAGGACATAAAATATATACAATAAATTGATAGCAGAGTTCTTGCCTACATGCTAACCTGCTGAGGTTCACTAAGGCAAAATGGGCAAAGCTGGATAAGCACTAGAAAAATTCTTTTACCATTATTCATTTGGACTGAAAATTTAATTCAGGTTGACTTTATTTAACTCCTGCAAACATTTGGAAATTAAGTTTTAATCACTTGAAGGTTTGCAGAGTGTGAACTTCATATGTACACATTTAAACTGTCCAGGTGCTAGGAAGGTATTTAAGTTATACAGAATGCAGAAATGCTTGTCACCATGTGATTACTAAATCCCTGTGCCAGAGCAAAGATACAAAACCAATTAAACAAATCAGACCAATATTTGACAGCACCTTGTACAGCAAGGGTCAAAAACATGCACAACTGTTATTGTGCATGTAAGGAGAAAAATGTAAGTGCAAACTCAACATCCAAGAAGTAGGACTTTCTGCATGACACCCCCAGAAATAATTCCTCAGGCAAGGAAAATGGGGGAAAGAGGTCTATGGACAGTTCCAACAATGATCCTAGAATAGCAAAAATGCCTACACTTCCTAGTTGTCTACTTTCAGGTTTTTAAATTATTTGATTTCAAGAAAAATGCACAACACTTACCAGATTGGTGCTGATTTTCAGAGAGACATGTGAAATCAATTACATACCCGTAAAACACATTTGAGTTTTACATACAGTAGCAAGGAATGCTGTGCAATAGGAGGAGGTCTAACAAACAAAGTTGTGCTGCTGAGAAACCTCTGTCTACTTGTTCATGATACATAGTCCATGAATAGCTTGGTCTTCAGTTTTACCCTGACCCAGTCCTATGGACTGAACAACCATTAAGAGCTGGAGTGTACAAGGTGTGGTCACCCATCAAAGGACCACGTCCTCTGTTTTAATGCCATTTGTCAAGAATCCAGTTCAGGTACTCTGCAATTGCTCCGCAGCGTGAACAAGGCATGGCAGGCTGGGACGACAGTTTTGCTTGAAAAGTGCACTTGAGCCAAACTAAAATGATAATGTAAATGCTCTTTTTCATTCTTAACTCAATTTTATCTAATTTTTTTTTTGTTTTAATGATTTTAGTATCTAGTTTGATGCTGATCTTGCACTTATTTAAAAAAAATCAAACACTCGATGTAATTGATGTGCAGTAAAACCATAAAAACATAAAACTAATCGGTTTACTTAAAGGCAGGAACAGCTGACAAATAGAAAGCTTGTGCTGAATGTTCTAGATCCTCAATTGCTCCCTTTGCTTGGCCCAACGGGATGTGATGCTATTTACTTAAACCAAATGACAAACTTGGGAGAGGTGCTTTTTGACTTGCTTACCAGTGAGTCCAGATGAAACCAAAGTAATTTGTGTGTGGTCAAACTCTTGTCTCTACACCTAGCATCCCCACCAGACATTGCCTCCCAAGCACCGTAATGTCTCAATACCGGAATGGAAAACAGCCTCTTACCTTGGTCAGAGTAGAGTTTGTTCTGTTGCTGCTGTGCACTAACTTCCTTTTCTACGCAGCCTTCCTAGAGCGTCGTAGAGGTGATGATTCTGTGCATTTCTGCAGGTGCTGCCCAAAGGCGTCCTGTGGATGCTTTAGGGGCTCACATGGGAGGAGCTGCTGTGACAGGAGGGAGCTGGTGGCCTTCTCGAACAGGAGCTGTGAGGCTTGCTTTCTCTTTCAGAGTGGAATTGCATTCAGAGCATGGTTATCAGGAGCATTATTGGCATCTCAAACCTCCAACCACAGTAGGCAAAAATAACAATGTACTTATTAAAAAACATTTTAGGAAAATCAATCATTGCTATTGATTAACAGGCAATTTTAACCTAGTCAAGGCACAGAATGCTCTTTATTGATTCATGGACACCTGAAATAATTTCATACTGCTTAGTGTTTTTGGTAATTTAATCACATCTTTTGCTTAATCTATGAATCTGTAACTATCAAAGTCTAAGAGCTTTTGAAGAATAATAATGTTTGTATGACAATACCTTTTCATATTATCAAAATTAAGTTGTGGCCCTTTCCTAACTGTTAAGTTCCTAAAACATAGAAGCTGCTTTGTCATTGCCAGTGATAGATGATATACAAATGCGAATTGTGTTAGGCTACAGCTAAGTAATACTTGTCTACTGATTATTGGTAATAAGAAATTTCACTGGGAAATTTGCAGTTTCTGTGGCAAGACTCTAATGAGATAGTAAGAAAATGCAGCTCTTTGAGAAGAAGCTCTGTTTCTTTTCCTTTTTATTTTGTTAGTCTATTTATTGTAGTATTTGAGGCACTTAATGGGCTAATACATTCATTTTGAATTCATTGCCTAGCACAAGCTTTGCCTGCAACCTGCAGTCCTCAGAATAGGAAATTCTCAATTACTCGGAAGGCTAACACGCTCCCTGAAACTGTAGCAAAACATTATTTTCCAAACCAGAGCATTTCCACTAATGATATTCTATAGAAAAAATAAATACACTTAATCCAAAATCCTGTGTTGTGTAGCCAGAAAGTGAGTGGATGAAAAGGGAATAATAAGTCCTTTAACCTTGTTTATGCAGCAGCTAATAAACATTTTCTAGAAGTGAAGAGAGTGATAGAGAATGGGACTGGTCGGATGCATTGTGCTTCAATGAACTGTTTCTCCAGGTTACTGGCATCTGTTGGTAGTGACCACTTAACCTGACATTAGTGTTGGTCAGGCAGGCAGGTTTTGCTCAGAAAATGCACCTAGTGGAATCCTTTCTGCCTCCTTTCAGATGTTTGCCCTGAACTGCTTCATGTGTAGGAAAAGGTTTCTTGCTCAAGTTCTATGCTAAAACTTATCATTTTGGGAAATTGAGAATGATTACAATATATGTACGGAAATTCCAACCCTTTATGGAGAAACAACACATATGAAGAATATGGCTTTAGCTACCATTTCGGTTATCAAGCAACACTGTGAACATTTCAGATTGGAAGGTCTTTTTTTTTTTTTTTCTCTCTG